TCAACTTGCTGGATAGCTAATAAAACAAATTAAAGTTGCTATAAGATTAACCAGCCATTAGTGAAGGCAAGTTTTATGGGAGGGGTTAACAGGGTGCTGTAAGACCTTCACATTTTTCTTTGCCCTTAGCACATCTTAAGTCTAAAAAATATGTTCCACAGGAGCTTGCATCTAAGTGCATTAGCAATTTAGTTTTGCTGTAGTTGTTACGATATGTGATTTATCAACAGCTTGCCTTATTTGGTTATCTGCTAAATAAGCAGTGATTTTACTGCTCAAAAGATTTGCCTCCAGCATGGTGTGTTGAGTGGGTTTTACAACACAGAACAACAAAAAAACACTGTAGTTTAGATTGAATTTCAGACCAAAGTGATTTCAAACTACAATGTGGTTTAACTTGAATTTCAATTTTTCTGGATAAACCACCATGATCCTTAACCCTTTCATTCCCAGGAATGATCAAGAAATAATTTCTCAGATAATAAGAATGAAGAAAAGTATCGAGTGAGGGATACTCTTTGATTCAACACCAAATTCACAGATTGTGAAGTACTAAGCACTTGCTACATGAATAAGAAATAATTTGAAGACCATACAAGGAGTCACTTTTGAGATCTTGGAAGTGAAAGGGTGAGACAAAGGAAAACACAAAACCCTTTTAAATCACAACTTTTTTATAAACTGAATATATACAGTGTTAGTACCTCATTCCAGAACCCTTGATATCAAACTGAACCAGCCTTACATCTTGCCAGTGATCTGGTGCAGTCACACGATTGTTTGATATCAGCCGTGCATTGAAAGGATGTCTTCTGCATGGACTGGGATTGGAAGTAACTGATTGGATACAAACACTGGAAAAGTTAGTAAGAGTTATTAAATTAAAGGATGAATTACTGACCAAAATTGTAATTTTCTTACTTCAGCATACTGTACCTTGATTTTCCATCAACAAGCTTTCACATCCTTTGTCTGTGTCCTCTATTACATGATTATTGCTATCAACAAAGACCACCTTGAATCTTGATGGAGGCCTGTATACAAAAGCAAATCAATCAATAAATGTTCTTAAATTCAATGCATCTTTATTTGTTACCTTCATCTGTCCATTTTCCAGTAATTTTCTTGATCTTATTGTATGACCCATAATGTTTACAAGGACAACAAGAGGTTTCTACCTCACAAGGCATGGGATCAAGAACATTAAAAAAAAAAGATAGTACCTTTTGTTCAGCCTCTTTGTGCTGTCCTTTCCACAGAAGAAATATCTTCCAAGAAAAACACTCCTATCTAAAGCTTGCCAGTTTTTAATATTCATGATCTCTTATATCAAATTGATGATAGAACTCAAAGAGAAGATAAAGACCAATTATAGCCTGGGAATACATTGTCACCTCACCTAACATTAGCACTGATGATCTCCTTTCCAGGGGGCAGAGGATGTATTCTAAGCATTTTTTCCCAGAGTTGCTTCAACCAAGGATCAACAACTGCATCTGGCCTAAAATAAAATAAAATAAAATAAACTCTTTAATTTTCTAACATTAATGCACTCATCGCATAGGATGCACTGACTGATGGAATTTTTTATTCAGAACATAGCATTTACAGTAGAAAAACTACCTTGAGCAAGTTACAACTGACATATATGGCAAGGTAAGACCACCAAGCAGGAGAAAGAGGTGGTCTCTTTTTTTCAAAGGTTGCTTTTAGGTTCCAATCAATCAAGATATCCTTGCTGTATTACCCCCAACACTAAGACTAAGCGTGAGCTCAACATGACTGGATTTTGGCTGAGTTCTTTTTCTTTTGCATTTTTATGGACCAAGACAAAGTCAAGGCCTGTAAAAATGAAAACAAAAGAACAAAGGTTACATCCAACCATCTAAGCCACATAAGCTTTGTCAATATAGTATTTATCATTTAGCCACACAATTTCACTTTACTGTGAATCAAGAGCCAAGGAAGAAAGCCAACCAGTTTTGTAGCACAATAAACCCACAGGAATTCTTTATGTTTTCTTAATGTTCTGATTGTCTTCCACCACTTTTTGTGACTCCATTGCCAGCATTGTCCAAAAACAACGAAATTTCTAAGTCTGCTGCGAGCAATCTTTTCTTGCACCAAATCAAAGTAGACAATGTCAAGCAGGCAAGATAGAGCCATCTTGCCTGCTCAGGTAGCCCATCAAAACACAAGATTCACTACATATTGCCCACCAATGAAGTATTACTGATCTAACCTAAGTAGACAAACAGACACTGGCTGACTGCAAAGAGGAACTTTCACAAGTTACTAATCCCAAACCTGGAACGTACCCAAGATCATGCTGGTCATCTGCTAAACCAACTTTTTGAAGTTCTGTACCACCCAGTTGGATCAGTCTCTTGTTCAACTTCTTGGCAATAAAGTTGAATCTGAAATATATTAAATATCACTTCAATCAGAGAAGACTAACTACAAATAACTATGATTCATAATATTCAATATTTATCATCATCACAAAGAATAAAAACTTGGATAGTCTTGTTTTCACAAGGTTATTGTCATCTAAAGTGATCACTTCACTGACCAAACATTCTTTGATGTGGGAGAACTGTATATGACTCCAAACGAATGTTTACATTAAACAAAAATGGCGACTAAAACCAAAACCTAAAACAACAACAACACCATGAGGTCTCCAATTAACTCATTATCACATGATATCAATCATAGGTATGTAAAGCGTACAAATTGAACTAGAACAATGTAGTTATAGTCGCGACAGTTATTGTATTGACATTTTTCACAGCCACCTTAATTATGTCTCTAATTCCCATTTATGTCTCAAATCACTTTCTGAACCTACTTTGGATATGATGAATCACCTAACCCTAAAACAGCAAATGACAACCCAGATAGAGAATTAACTGGGAGGTTTCTTCGGAGAATAAATCTCCAGAATTTCTGTAAAAGATCAAACAACATGTTTTAAGTTTTATTGATGTTTTGTTTTAGTTTTTATGTTTCTGTTTTTTTTTTTTTTTTCATTTTCTCGTCAATCAACTATAACTGTTCTATTGGTCTGAGGAATAAATTTAAAGTTCTCTCACTTTATCTAAGGGTGAAAGTTGTGCTTTAATCGGTTAAAAAGAGGAAGGGTTAAGAGCTACTTTTTCAAATCATTATTTACCATTTAAGGACTGAAAATTAAGGAAGAGTAGAGTAAGACTTTTGTTTAATGAGAAATAACTTAATAATTGTAGCCAAAATGTAGATATGGTATAGCAGTAACAACCTTCATATTATCAGGTTCATCTCCTTGACCTGTTGTTGCACATACAAATATTACAAGCTCCTCTTCAATCAGCTTCATCTGAAAAACATACAAGTCATTTAAAAGACTTAACATGTACTTACGTAACGAAAAATATTTTAACACTAAAGACAGCAAAAACTACAGTCATCTGATGAAAGACATACCACATTGTAATCGTCTAGAGCCAAAACACTCGCTGATAAATATCTCCTTTTGGCTTCTCGACCGATTCTTTCAGCAACCTCTAGGGCAGTCCCAGTTTGAGAGCCATACAACACAGACAGTCTTCTTCCGCCGGCCTTAGTTGATTCGTCCGCCATGATGGAAAATTCCACTGAAAATACCTCTGACCAGAAACGATTGCGGTCTAGGAGCTAGCAACGGTCACGCCATACCTACCTCGGTAACGCCGTTCGCTTGGATAGATCAGCGAAGACATGGCATCCAATCTCGATTTTTCAGAGGATATCGAAGAAGCTAAGGTATACATGGCCAAGAAAAATGTTTTCCAATTGTTCGAGGTGAGATATATCTTCCTCCGTCTTTTCTTGAGAGCCGAGATTTGTTGATTGTTCGCTGAAATAATGTAGTTGACATCGGACAACATGAGCTCCTCATCTCAAATCACAGGAGCGTTTTTTCAGTCGATGTCATACAATTACCGCTTTAAGCATGAAGAATCATTCTTTGTTTACCTCTAAAACATTTTTACCACAACATGTTTGGCTGAATAAAAATAACTTGCGACGTTAACTAATTCAGTTTCGTAGTTACACGGACATCATACTTGCAAAATTGTGGCGATCGGACAACCAAGAACTAACACGTTATTATTCAGATCAAATCATCTCCAATACGGCTACTTTTTAACTTCTCCCTGAAGCATAAAAGAATTTAATCCCCGCGAATGAAATGGGAAAAATTCTATGCAATGCCTTCGTAGTTTAACATTTCAAAGTCATCAAACAGTTTCCGGTAGACCAATCAAGATGACAACAAAACAGATCATGATTTTTTTACGACTGGTAGTTTTACCCTTCAGTTTTAAAGTAAAACCCATACAGTGGCAATGTACTTTCCCTTGACATCACTTTTCGATATGATGTAGTCATAAAATAACACAGCGGATAAACTTAAAGTAACTACGCGCGAAGTCCTTGGTTACGTATTCAGTAATTATGCAAGAATTGCTCTTGATCAATAGTTTACTCACAATCCGTTGTAAGGGGGGACTACCGGAATGTTAAGGGCAATATGTATTATGTCTGGCCTAAATCAACTTTTTTTGGCAAATATGTATACAAGGTCCACATTTTACTAGAGGAAGTGGTTCGACAAAGTATCCGGTTCGTATTATGTGCAAGGTGAAGAAACATTTGGCCATTTTGATCTTGACAAACTTTTACAGATCACAACAAGGCTTTTGACAGATGTTTCCTTTCAAAGACCTAGTCCCGTGGCAAACATTTCAAACCTCGTGAAAAGCTTTGTACCCCACTATATTTTGAGTTTTCAAATGATTTTTAACTGCTGAGCGGTGATAAAGAGGGGAATTTAATATTCGCCGATAAAAATGGCCTTATTACGTTAAAGAAAACAAACCTTTTGGTGTTGTGTTTCAAGTTAGTGTCCTCGAGGGATTCTCCTCGCAACTGACCCAATCTTGCCAATTCCATGATCCGAAGAGCTTCGATAAGCTGCGGCTGGCCGGGGGCTGAGGTTGATGCAACACAGATCAGTGATCCAGTGATCTAGAGGACTCTGTTTCCATTTATCATGAACCCCATACATCTCCTTGTCAATGAGAGTGCCAACTTGAGCCACATTCAGATATTTTTCTCTGAAAATTTAGCACTTTCTCCTCACCTCTCTCTCTTCATTAAGTATTCAATAGTTGTATCCCTCTGCATAACCACCCTTCCTGGGTTTCACGTAGCACTTTAATTTAAGCTTCAGAGTTAATTCTCTGTTCCACCATTTGTGTCCATAGTGCTACGCTGCACAACATTTATATGTACCCTTACTTCCTATTGATATCGATGTCACGGTTGGGGAAATATCCTGTGTAGCTGGTCGTTAGATCGAGTGCGCTTAAAACGAGGGGCGAAGTCTCATGAGGTTTTTTAACGGTAATACTAGAGAAACTATTCGAAGGGTGGATTATTGTTCTGTGTTTGGGAGAGACCTTACATTCTTAGAGTGCATCTCTCCTCTCAGGAAGGTCTATGAGCACTATCGGAATATCAGGGAAACCTGACCAAATACCAGTGGGTAACCGGCCACGACTTAGCATCCCCTTTAGAAGGAAAAGGAATACTCATAGTCGCTGCATGTTACTGAAACCGTAGTAAAGTCCCAGATTAGGTTCCCGGGCTTGTGAGCGACCTTAACTTAATTATCTTTTACCTGTGTACCAAAGGGCACATACGGACGGCAAATAATGCTGAAACACCAAGAAAATATGATAGCCATAGGTAGGGGGGGTTCCCTCTGGCTGGTAATCTTTTAACCAAGAATCTGTAGTGAATGATATTTATGTATGTTTTCTCGATACAGAGCCTTTTGACTGCAGTTGTTCACAATCGACCCGAAAACCCGGTAGAGTTTCTTCAGGAATGCCTAGAAATTGCCAAGCAAAACGAAGACCTTCGATGGAATTCATTTCTTGAGGTGCAAAGCAGAACCAACAAGAGCTCACAGACAACTGGACAGTTTGATAAGGTGTTTAATACAGAACTTGAAACGACACCTAGTGACTGAACATGAAAGATCAAAAGAGACTCTAAAAGTTACTTATTTATTTCCTTTTTACATTAAGAAAGAAATATAGAGACAAATCAATTATATTGAAAATACAGCCTTCTTCAGGTTTGGATCATGTACCAGTGTTCCAAAACTCTGAGCAAGTCACCAGCCTTAACCTTATCATTTAGTATTTTACGTTTTGTGTTTTTTATATGAATTAGAATATGCGTCACGTGCGAATGACTTTAAATCGAGGCAGTAGCTAAGAAAGGGTTGGCGGGAGGGGAGGGGGTCAAGCTTTGAGCGCCTGAACTCAATTTCTGTGTAAAATCGAGGGGCTGTTGTCTCGCAGTTTCGCTGCTCGTGACACAGCTTCATTGCGAGCCTGCACGCAGGTTAGGGAGATCCCCTCTTTGTCAAGAACAGTATGTAATGATTTAGATCGTGGAACCACCTGTTACGCTTTCAAATGGTAGAAAATGTACTGTGTGATCCTCTCTAAGAAAATCAAGGGGAAGGATAAGTAAATTCGTAAGTGCGAAGTCCATCTAACATGCTTCTTTGTCGTGATCAGATATCAGTTGTTTAAAGCGATGACACTCCTTCGCTTATATTAGGAAATATGCGTTAGCACGGATGAGTATATTTATTCCAAAATCTGAAAAGGCGGTGTTATGTTCTTAACGTATTTGGAACACTTGTGCTATCAGATCAATTTACATCACGACTTTTTGTTACTGAAAGGCGCATAACATCAGAAAGGTTGACCGCCGCAAAAACTGTTACACAGTTCGCAGGGGAAAAAATGAGACGTGGACGTGAGCATTTTTTCCCCTTTGCGATGTGATTGCTCCGAGTCGTCTCTCAAAGATTTATGAGTGTGTCCAGTTATTATGGCTAATATCGCAAATACCTAAAAAATTATACTAGTAAAATGGTTCCATTGAACGCGATTGTTTTTTATTAATGCTTTCATTAAAGAGATTAATTGAGGCAACTTGGTTTCTTTTTGCTTTTTTTCTCAAACGCCTTCAGAGAGGCAAAATGAGACTGACCAGGGAGGTCGAGTCGTACGACTCATTGTGGGCTTTGACGAGAC